AAAATAGAAAAAAAATAACTGTCATAGGCACTTTAAACACAGAGGGAAAGTGTGTACAGGTAGATGAACTATAACTGGAGAGATCTCAGAAACAAAAAAAAAAAGAGAAAATAAAGTAATGCAACAAAGACAACAGAGAGTGTAGTCCACAATGTCTTTTTTTTTTTTTCCTTTAGGGCTCTTTCACTCAAATCACTGTAAACATTGGGTCAGAATTATTCAACCTGTTACTTTCAATGAAAAATAAGATGGTGCCTTACACTAAAATAATTTCTTACTAATAGTTAGCTGTGCCTCACTTATCACACCATTATTATTAAAAATAATATAGAAGGATATAATTCTACAGATATTTACAGACTAAGCAAACCTAAGATTGGGGAGTGAAGCAACACAACTTCTCTATGTATCAGATATAAACAGATTTTTCTACATTAAATCACGTTGTTAGTTCAACCCATGTCATCATGCTTATGGAGATCCACTTTCACTGCTTCTTTGAAAAAAATAAAACGTTTGAGGTTTATTATCAGTGGATGACGTTTGAATAACCAATTAAACTTTTTGAACCAACTTCTTTTTGCAAATTTATATCATAAAGTTGGGATATGGCCAAAATGGCAGTGGAAGGAAGTTTAGAGTAATTTTTTAGATGTAGGGATATAACTTTTGGATGAGAGTATTCAAGACATGTCTAATTTTAAAATAGAAACTCTCACAATTGAATTGATAAAGACTTCAAAATTTTCTACAATTCATTTCTAGAGTTTTATACTTGAAACTATCTGTAGATTAATTTGTGCATAAATTCTCCCTACAATTACGCATTTTCAAAAGAAGGGTGACGAGAATTAGAAAAATGATCAACTAGAAAATAACATTTGAGTACACATGTAACATCAATCTCTCTTAACTTGCCAATGATATCAGTTGAGATAGTTACCTTTCTGATCAAAGAAGACGGGGATAATTATTATTCAACTTGAAAATTTTGCACTAAAGGCAAAACCTACATTAATTAAAACAGGTTAGATTTGACCTTTTTATTCTTAACAAATGTTTGTTGAAACTCTTCCTCACTGTCACTTGATACAGTGTCCTCGTATGTTCTTCCATCTGTAGCTCTTGATCCAACTTTTATCACTGGGCTACAATGGGAACCATGAGATGAAGAAGTTTAACCCTTTGCACCTGAACATCATTTTGCATAATCTCCATACTGTTCTCTCTACATTACCTAAGGTGCTACAGGGTAGAACTTGTTCAACAATCAAGAGTTTCTTTGGTTGGTGATAAAAAATTCAAAAAAGGGCAAAATACCACAAATATTGCAAAAACATTAAGAGTCAATATAATTTGATGTAAAATAGACCTCATGACCTTAATGTGGATTCAGGGGGGATGCTGTGGGGGGAAATTAGATACTAGTCAGTCTTAAGGGGCAAATGGCTGAGAAAAGAGTATAAACCAACAGTAAAACTACTAACAGTACATGTGTATGATATGATACCTTTCTGGAATAACCAGGGGCTCGTCTGACTCACCATCTTTAAGTTCCTTAAGAAGCAAAACAAGCAAACTTGTCATCCCATATGCATCATGTTATAAATTATTGTTGTTTTCATTTTGCAACAAGTTCAGATTCAGTCAATTATTGAAAAAAAGAAAAAAAAAAAAAGAAAAAGCTGTTTACAAAATTTATCAACCATCTTCATAAAAACCCCCTAAGCATAAAAAATTATTTTCAAGTACAAACTATTTTTTAAATTGTTAATTTCAAATTGGAAAAATTGGAGGAAAAAATTAATAATTTGGTTGTCCTAGCCTTAAATTGTAGTGTCAAACTTCCTAAATGATACCTAACGAAGGCCTATCCTTTTTTTCCGGGATAGTTCTTGTGATCTGCAGAACACTACAGACGTAATAGTGAACTTATAGTGGCTTAGTCTGATCCTCTTTCTATTTTCCTTCTTCAGTTTTTTATTTTTATTTTTTATTTTCCTTTTCTCATGATTTTGGGTTGCCACATGGCATCTTAATAAAAACTTGCAATCTAAAACATTGAAATCCTTAAATCAAAGCTTCCAAATAGTGCCTTCTTCATGTATTTCTCCCTCTCTTGGGACTTGTTCATATTAACATCAATTTTAGCATTATGCAATTACATCAAAGAATTAAAATGACATTACCCAATCATTATCCTCCAAACCTAGTGATGGTGTACCCTCATCCTCCTCAAACGATACCAGACTTGGAGAGGATGGAGGCTCAGGAATGACTGAACAAGTCCTACTGTTGACGCCTTTTGATGAATCTGGAGGAGCAGTGCTCTTCTTAAAGAAAGGTGGGTATGTTTGATCACTTGATTCTGATGAGTTATCATTAATTTCCTGCTCATTTGTGTCGATGTTACCTTGGTCTTTCTTGTTCAAGTCTTCATCAGTGGGGTTAGTCTCTGACACATCCAACCTTTCACTGACTATGAAGTATAATTATATCGATAGTTTACTTAGTTTGCCCTCCAAACCCATAATTTAAGCATCAATAATAATAATAATAATAATAATAATAATAAAGATCTTTATTCATTCGTTATTAAAAACACCCCCACAGACAAACAATGTGAGTTTACAATGAGAATAAAATTCTATGCTACTATTCAATATTACTATATAGTTAAAATAGACTTAAACAAAATTAAATAGGTATCTATTAATAAAGCATTGCTTGAACCTCTCGGTTCTCACATGTGGCAAGATAAAATCATGGCCCCTGCTTCTTAAAAAACGTGATCTTTGTGGAGGAAGAAGGTCATAAAGAGAATGAGCTGCATCGGTTATGATGTTGTTCCATAACTGCCTATCTCTTGAAACAATGTAGCTGGTCATTGGGGTGTACTTGGAGGTATATCCATATCGCAAACCAAGCCTACAATACTTATCAATCTGTGCAATGTATTTACCCCGGTGGGCACAGCCCCATACTTCTAATGCATATAAAAATAATGACATTATGAGGTTATCAAATAGCACAGTCAACTCCAGTAAGTAGTAGGTAAAGTACTGGCAGACCCTCAAGATGTAAAGTCTAGAATTGGCCTTGCCAAGCATATGCTCAAATTGAGTATCCCAGTTACATGTACATGGGTCTTCATGAGATGTTACTCCCAATAGTTTGAGCTCCTTCTTCCTAACTATGGCAGATTTACACTATTTATAGCAGCTCTTCCACTAACCTGGAGTCCTTTTTGCAGATAAATTACTTTTCCCTTTCTTTCGCTTTTGCACATCAGCTATTAGCTTATCAAATTCATTTTTATGTTGATTCACTGACGAAAAATAGAGAAGAACAGATAAAATGATCATGACAATCTATTCTGTAATTCCTTATTACTTACATGTGTACAAAAAAAAAAAGAGCGAGATATTACACATGGAGACCAAGAGACAAAATTATGCAAAAATGGTTGAATGTAGACCAGTGGTTAAGATATAAATGGGTGGGGAACCTGTGCTGAATTAAACATGATGACACAACTTCCCAACCAAGATAAAACAGTCTCATCAACCCCCAAAGTTGGCTGGCTGATTAATTGAAACTTACAGTACTTCATACAGCCATGTAAAACTAAATCAGTGTGAGTGCTGACAACTTACGGTATTCCTGTCGAATTTCATCCATCTCTCCTTCACTTTGATTTTTTGTAAAATGAATACTATGCTTTTGAATCAAATGTAGAAAAAAAAGTTAGTCATAGTTACAACAGTACTGTTGATAATATCAAAGGTGAAGGATATCTAGTATCTAACACTGGCAATTTCACATCACTCAAAAATACATACACATACATGCAAGTCCAAGTATAAAAAAAGTATATTATAACAATATAGAATATTACACTGAGCTCTCCCTTTCCAGAGAGCTGCAAAAACTCTTAAAGAATTAAGTGAAAACAATCATCACTTCATTATTAAAGTGTTTGTAGCTTTGTTATTCTTGAATTGATCATGTTTTGCCATTTTCCACAGCTTTCCATAACCCAATTGACATCTTGAGCTTTCTTAAGTCATAAAAACACTGCAGAATTTTCTCATCATCTGAAAATCAGTCACTAAACAAAAGCAAAGAATTTTATTTGTTTACATACAGATGTTGAAGCTTCAGCAACAGATGCTGCCTCTCTCTCCTTTGTCAGCTCATTTTTCTCCACCTCTCTAACAATTTGTGCAGCTGTGTGAGCAAGATTTATTACTTTATCAGCATTTAGGATTAACGAACTAAGTTACTTATTATTGTACATCCCAATATTGTTGGATAATACCTCATCTAAGAACATACAAAAGCTGCAACTCATCCAGAATTTTGCCTGCAAAATCATCTGCGGCGCTCGGAAATTTGACCATGTAATGCCATTACTGGATGAACTCAACTGGCTTCCAGTTGAAAAAAATACTCAAATTCAGAGATGCTGTTATAGCTTATAAGTGTGTCAACAATTTAGCTCCAGAATATCTAATGTGCTAAGTTTAAAAAACGATCTTCTGTACATAATCGTATAACTCGTAATAATGAGAAGATTGACATTCCATTATTCAGATCAGCTACCAGCCAAAGGTCCTTTGCCTATAGAGCAGTATCTCTGTGGAACATGTTAGATGAAGACCTGAGAGACATTACATCTGTAAAGGCCTTTAAGAAAGTCCTGAAACTTGCCATGAATGAATGATCGAGTGACAGTTAGCATTTAGAATTTAACAATAGCTTGTTAGATATAGTTAGCATTCATATTTGTAAATAGGTACTGAAAAACCTTTTAGGAGTATTTATTATTAAAGTTTAAAGTTTAATGAAGGAAAGTGTTAATAATCAATAATGAAAAATTCTTGTACATAACACCTTTTACAAGCAACTGTCAGATGAAGAATAATTTATGTAATTATGTGGAAGGGGAGGAAATTACTGCTTACCAGTCATGGGTCTCTCAGAATCGCACTGTGAATTATAAAGCATTACAAATTCTTGATGTCTTTTGATAAGTGTCTGAGGAAGGAATCAACAGTCAAATATTAGTCAAATTTGAAGCAGGGCTCGACACTAACTTTTCAACTTACTAGCCAAGTGGCTATAATGACAACTTAGATGTCACGACAATTTCAGTTTACTTACTAGCCAAACTGGCTAATGAAAATCCAAAACAACTAGCCAAAACTGAATTGCTACTAGTCTGTGGCTAGTGGGCTACCAATAGTGTCGAGCCCTATGAAAGTCAGTGTAAGGGACTCTAATAAACATGAAGTAATAATAATAATAATAATATCATAATAATAACTTTTATTTATATAGCGCTATCTTAAATTCAAGGCACTTTACAACACTGTACAGGGACTTTACCAGACTGCTAAGCAGTTTACAATCAAATAAAGGCGAATATAACAGATGCCCCCTCCCCCCAATTCCCAGTAACCAGGCCAGACCACATCACAGTAATCTCGTGAAGTGGGTTCTTTAACGTCCCCTGCCTAACCAAATTAACTAATTAATAGATGCAGGAGACGGGACCTCCATTAATTCATCCCTATCTGAGAAGACTAGAACATCTAACCATTTCTTGAGTAAAAAAGTCTATATCATACTCGCTGTTTACACCAAAGTGTTGAACAAGAGGCAAACTTTCGAAGTGTTAAGAGATGCTGAGGATAATGTTTCTTTCCAATCTTGCCTCATACAGTACAACTAGAATACCATTTTTCAGGTCATACATCAAATGCGACAAGATGACTATTTACCATTTCGCACCCAAAATCTTACTAGTGATTTTCCTCACTGCCTGCCATCATATTCTATGTCAATAAGAATTTTCTGGTAATTCAATCAGCTAATTAATAGTCCCATAACTGATAATTTCCTTTATTCTCATCACTTGTCTGCTTCATATTCTACTGATAAGGTAAGAAGAAATTATGTTTTGGTCACAGAGGAGGTATAGAGCTACATACACATGTACATGAACTTCTCATTGATTCAGGGAAATGAATGACTCATAAAACTTTATAGAGCTACATATTAAACATGACTCCTATAATGTACATGACTGTACTTCTCATTGAATCAGGGCAAAGAATGACTCACGAAACTTTAAAGAGCTACATAAACATGATTCCTATAATGTGCATGTACTTCTCATTGAATCAGGGCAAAGAATGACTCACGAAACTTTAAAGAGCTACATAAACATGATTCCTATAATGTGCATGTACCTCTCATTGAATCAGGGCAAAGAATGACTCACGAAACTTTAAAGAGCTACATAAACATGATTCTTATAATGTGCATGTACTTCTCATTGAATCAGGGCAAAGAATGACTCACGAAACTTTAAAGAGCTACTTAAACATGATTCCTATAATGTGCATGTACTTCTCATTGAATCAGGGCAAAGAATGACTCACGAAACTTTAAAGAGCTACATAAACATGACTCCTATAATGTGCATGTACTTCTCATTGATTCAGCTAGGGCAATGAATGACTCATGAAACTTTAAAGAACTACAGAAATATGACTCCTAAAATGTGCATGTCCTTGTCAATTATTGAGGGTAATAAATGACTCATGAAACTTTAAAGAGTTACATAAACATGAGTCCTATAATGTACATGTAGTTATCATTGATTCAGGGCAATGAATGACTCATGAAACTTTAAAGAGTTACATAAACATGACTCCCATAATGCGCATGTACTTCTCATTGATTCAAGGCAGTAAATGACTTATAAAACTATAAAGAGTTACATAAACATGACTCCTATAATGCACATGTACTTCTCATTGATTCAGGGCAGTGAATGACTCATGAAACTTTAGTTCGTGATTTATTGTATGGTGATCTCCTGATTTTATTACTGATCTAGTCTCTGATCAGTTCACTGCAGAATTAAATAAAATTGTGAGACCTACATGTACATGTAGCACTTTAGTACTTACTGATCTATTTCCCTTAGTTGACAAATTCCATTCCTTTAATCTTCTTAGTAATTCTTTATCTGACATGACATTGTACACAAGTTTTGGAAGAGGCTTTCTTTTCTGTATCAATCGGCTGTAAAT